CCCCGCGTCAGAACTGGACTGGGGTAGCGGCAGGAAGAGAGTTCTCAAGGGCTCCCGTGATTCCTCCACAATGATGTCAGATGGACACAGAGGAGTTGGCTTCAGGGCACGTGACGAGGCCCAGAGGGAAGGGTGCTTGTGGAGGGAGGCCTGAGTGCCTGCTTGTGTGGGGGCGGAGGGAGGGTTTAAACTGGTGGGGACAGGGTGAGCCCAGCCCTTTATCCTCCCTGCTCTGCTCAGCCTCAGGAGACAGGACATCGCTCCAGTCCTCTATTCGGTCCGGACTGTGCGCCCCGCCCCCGCTGTCTGTGGAAGGCTCAGGCCCTTCGCGGTCGCTCCCAGCCACACCCACCAATCTGGTTCTTGGCTTTCGGGCTCCTGCTTGGCTCAACTCAGTCCAATTTCAGGACTCGAACCTGCCCCACTTTGCTTTCGTCCTAGTAGCTCCCCAGCCTCAGAGCCGTGGGGTTCCACCCCTATCCCTGCCTAGGAGCACCGCGGGAGTTGTGATCAGGCCTGGACTGCGATCCCCAAGGTCTGAAGTTTGAGACATCAGACTGCCCACTACTAGTTCTACTCTCCTATAGGGTCCTATCGGGTCACCTCGAGTCAGAATGGACCCCATGGCAGTGGATTTTTCTTTTTAGTTTCCCTGCTTGGTTCTGGACAGGGCAGCAAGACACTAGTTTGTGTGGGGACAGGAAACAGCCTGGTTGGTCTTCATGTAAATGGCTTCATCGTGGTCTTTCAGTACCAGCCAGTCTGTTCTGACCCATAACCTCGACTGGTGCACATCAGAATGCAGCCCACGCTGGCCCTGTGCCGTCCTGGTGTTGGAGCCCAGCGAGGCAGCCAGTGTCAGTCCATCTGTGAGGGGCTTTCTCTGTTTTGCTGCCCCTCCGCTTTACCAAGGATGGCGGACATCCTTCTCCAGGGACTGGCCTCTCCTGACTGCATGCCCACAGCCCGGGAGAAGCAGGGCTCTGAGGTGCACCGTCATGCTTCGCGGCCACCTTGAACGCATGCACTTTGTTACCCGTGGCATCATGGCTATGCGTGGGACTGCTAACCAGAGTCAGCAGTTCTGAACTCCCCGTTGCTCCCCGGGAGAAAGAGGACGCATGATACTCCTATAAATACTCCTGTAAACGTTTAGGCTCAGAGAACCTCAGCAGGGTTGTCCTACTTTGTTCTGTAGGGTTGTTAAGCCCTGGAAGCCACTCGATGCCAGTCCGACTTTGGTTTTGAGTGTCTCCCCTCCCCCGTGGTGACTGCCCAACAGAATGACATGCTGACAGTCCCGCACATCCCCATGATGCGGGGCTGATCAGACCCCGGGGATGCACAGGGCTGTCGTTGGACGGTTTGGGGCAGTAGATCACCAGGTCTTTCTTCCTAACCCATTTCAGCCGGGGAGTTCCCCGAAACCTATTCGGTGCCATTGAGCCAGTTCAGCCACACCGTGCCCCCTGCTGACAATGGCAGGAAACCCTGTGCCATGCTCACACGGTGACGCCTGAACGCCTGTGTCCATCCACCTCCGTGGAGGTTGTCTTGTCTCCGCCCCTCTTCCAAACATGAGGTTCTTTCCTGGGGGCTGGTCCCTCTCGAAAACATGCCCAACGTTTGAGAAACCGAGCTTCCCCACCTCGCTTCTCAGGAGCTCTGAACATAGCTACAAAGGCTGGTGTTGGAGAATATTCAGGAATTTATATTCACACTGAAGCAGCCTGCATCTGTCTGGGAAGCTAGCCAGCCAGTCTTGACCGTCTGGGGGCTGGGATGGGGGTGAACCCTTTGAGCCCAGGTGTGGATGTGTGGGTGAGCTGCGTCCAGCCTGGCCCAGGCTGCTCAGAGGTAGCTGAAGAGGGTGCTCCCCAGGCTTATAGGCCATCTCCCAGGGAGCATCTGGGGGCAGTCTGGGCCTGGTTCAGATGGAAGGTGGCTTGCCTGTGAGCCCTGGTGAGGGAGATGCCCATGAGTCTGGCTGGGTGGGGAATGGCTCCTGCGTGGGGTCCCCACTCCATGGGGGCGGAGAGGGCCTGCGGCTGCTGCCCTTTCTGGTTCAGAGGCAGGTTGGCAGGGTACCAGGACAGCCCTTCCTGGGACCCTGACTCCAGTTATGCAGGAAATCCACCCACTCTCAGGCAGGACCTTGCCGTTCCCATTAGGCCTCAATTTCCTGCCCCCAGGTAAGGACACAACTTTCCTCAGGTCCTCAGAGTCCATGCCTACCCTGCCCTGGGCTGTGGATTGTGGGATATCTAGGATTTCTTCTGGGAAGTATCTTGGATCAGGCTCTCTGCTGGCTGCTTCAGGGGTAAAACCTGATGGCCCCTCAGATCCATAAGTGTTGGACTCCTTTTGGGGCTTTCAGCAAGGCCAGGCGGCCTCAGTTGAACTGCACCCACTTTCTCTCCTGTCCCCTCCCTGTTTCTACGGAATTTGCCCTTGGTTCTCAGATGCACCCCACCCAGCCCCCTGGCCCACTGATAAGGGCAGAATGTTATCAGAGTTGGAGTGCCAGCTCTCTGCACTAGGGGCCTGCCCTCCCTGGCTACTGCTCACCCGAGGCCCACGGGGAGATCCCAGCCCTGCAGGGCTGCTGGTTGCCCACAGCGGAAGCCCCTCTCGGGGTCACCAGCCTCTCGATCCTTCCCTCCCTGGGCCTTCTGGCAGTCCGGGACTGTGAGGTGGGGGGAGTAGTGCTCTGGCAGTCAGGTGACAGGGCCCACTCAGCCCTGCCACCATCTATCGCCCCAGTGGAAGCTCCCACGTTTGCTCTGCCTTGACATCCTCATCTGTACATAAGAGCTGTGGTCATCACCTCCCCACCGGGGTGGCAGGAGCCTAACTTCAGGCCTCTGCAGTCAGCACATCCAACTCCCATTCTAGCCCCAATCTCACGGAAGGGAACGAGCTGCATGGCGCAGAGGTAGTGACCTCGCTGCCCGCCGGCTGAGGCAGGCTGGCCACCCGCAGAACCGGGCACTGCCGAGTTGATAAGGAGGCCCGGTTTCACACTCTGCCCTGTGCTGACAGCGATAATCGCCCTGCGGCCCTGCCCCACCACCCCACCCAGGGGCTTGCAGCACCCTCCTCAGGCTGTGGGTAGGGCAGGGCAAGGCAAGGCAAGGGCAGTGGGAGGCTGGGCACGTTCCCCTGAGCATCGGGGGCCAGAATCTAATGACTCACAGGGCACAGGTACACAGGTACTTCTCGTACCTTCCTGGGCTCCTGGGCCCAGAGGCTGGCTCCAGGAAGGTTCCTCCAGGGCCCCCGAATCGCTCCACTTTAACCCTTAGCAGGCCTGAGGAGTTTGGGCTGCAGCCCTGGGCAACCAAAACCTTCATGACGCTCTGCCTGGGTTGGGGTCTTTGCTAAGTGGTTCCTGTTCTATCGTCGAGTCTCACAACCACCCTCTGAGGTTGTCTCTGAAGGAGGCTTATTTTAGAGATGAAGTCCCACCCCCACGCCAGCAAGTCAAAAACTTCCCCCAAGGCCACCCTGCTTCTAAGGGCCGGAGCAGTGATGGTGTTCCTCCCTTTCCCCAGAACCTTGTGGTTAAGAGGTGGGCACTGACGCTACTGCCTGCTCCCCGCCTGTACAGCCAGGTTGCTAACGGGGCCGCTGCACGTGGACGTAGGACGTCCTTCACGCCCTAGGCACTCGGAGAACTTGGCACTT